CTTTTTTTTTTTTTTTTTTTTTTGTGGTACGCGGGCCTCTCACTGTTGCGGCCTCTGCCGTTGCGGAGCACAGGCTCTGGACGCACAGGCTCAGCAGCCATGGCTCACGGGCCCAGCAGCTCCGCGGCATGTGGGATCTTCCCGGACCGGGGCACGAACCTGTGTCCCCTACATTGGTAGGCGGACTCTCAACCACTGCGCCACCAGGGAAGCCCAATTACAGACTATTGATTGGAGTTCCCTGTGCTACACAGTAGGTCCTGTTGATTACCTATTTTATGTATAGTAGTGTATAGTATAACTCATTTTAGGGCATTTCAATCTTGTGATACTTGGGATATACTAAAGACAGATATCTGTTTGCTTTTAAAAATACTAAGTATTATTTCTTAGTTATTGGCATTACTAGTAAATAAATGTTTTATTTTACATCGTAAGATCTTTATCACAAGTATCTCCCATGCTACATTCGGGACTATACTAAAGATAGTGTTTTTAAAAGAAAACAAAAATCTAAGTATTGTTTGTTAATTATTAGCATAATTAGTAAATCAATGTTTTAATTGATAAAGTCTTTAGCACAAGCATATCCCATGCAGTATTTAGGATATGGTTTTTCAAAGTTATGTGTTTTCATACATCTGAAGCATTATTTATTAGTAGTATTAACAAATAATTTTATTGTATTAAAGAACACATTTTTACTATTATTTAGAAAATAATGCTTTTTTGTTTGTTTTTGTTTTTGCAGAACGCGGGCCTCTCACTGTTGTGGCCTCTCCTGTTGCGGATCACAGGCTCCGGACACACAGGTTCAGCGGCCATGGCTCACGGGCCCAGCCGCTCAGCGGCATGTGGGATCTTCCCGGACCGGGGCTAGAACCCGTGTCCCTAGCATCGGCAGGCAGACTCTCAACCACTGCGCCACCAGGGAAGCCCCTATTACTTATTATTTAAAATGAAATTTCATTAAAACCATCTCATTTTATTTAATTTTTATTTTACATTGGAGTACAGCTGATTTACAGTGTTGTGTTACTTTCAGGTGTACAGCTTAGTGATTCAGTTATACATGTACATATATCCGTTCTTTTTCATATTCTTTTCCCATTTAGGATATTACAGACTTGATTGGAGTTCCCTGTGCTACACAGTAGGTCCTGTTGATTACCTACTATGTATAGTAGTGTATAGTATAACTCATTTTAGGACACCTAAATCTTGTGATATTTGGGATATACTAAAGACACGTTTCTGTTTCCTTTTAAAAATACTAAGTATTGTTTCTTAATTATTGGCATTACTAGTAAATAAATGTTTTATTTTACTTGGTAAGATCTTTAGCACAAGTATCTCCCATGCAACATTCGGGAATATACTAAAGATGGTGTTTTTAAAAGAAAACAAAAATCTATTGTTTGTTAATTATTAGCATAATTAGTAAATCAATGTTTTAATTTAATTGATAAAGTCTTTAGCACAAGCATATCCCATGCAGTATTTAGGATATGGTTTTTCAAAGTTATGTGTTTTCATACATCTGAAGCATTATTTGTTAGTAGTATTAACAAATTATTTATTTTAATAAAGAACACATTTTTACTATTATTTAGAAAATAATGCTTTTTTTTTTTTTTTTTTTTTTTTGTCCGGGGGTACGCGGGCCTCTCACTGCTCTGGCCTCTCCGTTGCGGAGCACAGGCTCTGGACACACAGGTTCAGCAGCCATGGCTCACGGGCCCAGCCGCTCAGCAGCATGTGGGATGTTCCCGGACCAGGACACGAACCCCTCTCCCCTGCATCGCCAGGCGGACTCTCAACCACTGCGTCACCAGGGAAGCCTCTATTACTTATTATTTAAAATGAAATTTCATTAAAACCATATCATTTTATTTCTTTAATTTTTATTTTACATTGGAGTACAGCTGATTTACAGTGTTGTGTTACTTTCAGGTGTACAGCTAAGTGATTCAGTTATACATATACATATATCTGTTCTTTTTCAGATTCTTTTCCCATTTAGGATATTACAGACTTGATTGGAGTTCCCTGTGCTACACAGTAGGTCCTGTTGATTTCCTATTTTATGTATACTAGTGTATAGTATAACTCATTTTAGGGCATCTAAATCTTGTGATATTTGGGATATACTAAAGACAGATTTCTGTTTGCTTTTAAAAATACTAAGCATTGTTTCTTAATTATTGTCATCACTAGTAAATAAATGTTTTATTTTACTTGGTAAGATCTTTAGCACAAGTACCTCCCATGCAACATTCGGGAATATACTAAAGGTAGTGTTTTTAAAAGATAACAAAGGGCTTCCCTGGTGGCGCAGTGGTTGAGAGTCCGCCTGCCGATGCAGGGGACATGGGTTCGTGCCCCGGTCCGGGAGGATCCCACATGCCGCGGAGCGGCTGGGCCCGTGAGCCGTGGCCGCTAAGCCTGCGCGTCCGGAGCCTGTGCTCCACAACAGGAGAGGCCACAACAGTGAGAGGCCCGCGTACCGCAAAAAAAAAATAATAATAAAAAAAATAAATAAATAAAAGATAACAAAAATCTAAGTATCGTTTGTTAATTATTAGCATAATTAGTAAATTAATGTTTTAATTTAATTGATAAAGTCTTTAGCACAAGCACATCCCATGCAGTGTTTAGGATATGCTTTTTAAAAGTTATGTGTTTTCATAAATCTGAAGCATTATTTATTAGTAGTATTAACAAATTATTCATTTTAGTAAAGAACACATTTTTACTATTATTTAGAAAGTAATGTGTTTTGTTTTGTTTTGTTTTGTTTTTTGCGGTACGCGGGCCTCTCACTGTTGTGGCCTCTCCCATTGCGGAGCACAGGCTCCAGACACACAGGTTCAGCGGCCATGGATCACGGGCTCAGCCGCTCAGCGGCATGTGGCATCTTCCCGGACCGCGACATGAACCTGTGTCCCCTGCATCGGCAGGCGGACTCTCAACCACTGCGCCAGCAGGGAAGCTCCTATTATTTATTATTTGAAATGAAATTTCATTAAAACCATCTGATTTTATTTCTTTAATTTTTATTTTATATTGGAGTACAGCTGATTTACAGTGTTGTGTTACTTTCAGGTGTACAGCTTAGTGATTCAGTTATACATGTACATATATCTGTTCTTTTTCATATTCTTTTCCCATTTAGGTTATTACAGACTATTGATTGGAGTTCCCTGTGCTACACAGTAGGTCCTGTTGATTACCTACTATGTATAGTAGTGTATAGTATAACTCATTTTAGGACACCTAAATCTTGTGATATTTGGGATATACTAAAGACACATTTCTGTTTCCTTTTAAAAATACTAAGTATTGTTTCTTAATTTTTGGCATTACTAGTAAATAAATGTTTTATTTTACTTGTTAAGATCTTTAGCACAAGTATCTCCCATGCAACATTCGGGAATATACTAAAGATAGATTTATGTTTTCTTTTAAAAACACTAAGTATTGTTTGTTAATTATTAGCATAATTAGTAAATTGTTTTATTTTAATTTATAAAGTCTTTAGCACAAGCATATCCCATGCAGTATTTAGGATATGCTTTTTAAACATTATGTGTTTTCCTACATGTGAAGCATTATTTATTAGTAGTTTTTACAAATAATTTTATTTATTTTAATAAAGAACACATTTTTACTATTATTTAGAAAATAATGCTTCTGGTTTTTTTTTTTTTGCAGTTCGCCGGCCTCTCACTGTTGTGGCCTCTCTCGTTGCAGCGCACAGACTCCGAACACACAGGCTCAGCGGCCACGGCTCACGGGCCCAACCGCTCCGTGGCATGTGGGATCTTCCCGGAACGCGGGACGAACCCGCGTCCCCCTGCATTGGCAGGCAGACTCTCAATCACTGCGCCACCAGGGAAGCCCTGCATTTTTATTTTTAATAATTTAATTTAAAATTCAGTATATCCCACGCAATATTTGCAATATTCTTATACTCTTTAATAGCTATGTATTTTCATACATTAGAAGTATTACTTATTATTAATGTTACCTAATAGGTAATAGTTATGCTAATGAAGAATAAGCATTGTTTTATTAATGCTGCTTAGTGAATATTTTAATAAAGAACAAGTATTTATGATTATTGTTTAGAAAATTATGTATATGCTTACTATGTTAATTTACAATTTAGTACAAGTATATCCCGTGCAGTGTTTGGGATGTATTTATACTAAAGATAGTACTTTTAAAGTAAACTGAAATCTAAATATTGTTTGTTAGTTATTAGCATTATTAATAAATAATGTTTTATTTTAATTGGTAAAATCTTTAGCGCAAGTATATCCCATGCATTATTTGGGATATATTTATACTTTTTAATGGTTACGTATTTTCACACGTTAGAAGCATTACTTACTGTTAACGTTACCTAGTAAGAAGTTAATATGTATGTTAATTAAGAATAATCTTTGTTTACTACTTAGCGCATAATAGTTTGAAAAAGAAAAAGCATTATTAATATGACTTAGAATGCTACGTATATTTTTACTAAGTTAATTTAAAATGTGGTACGAGTATATCCCAGGCAATATTGGGGATGTATTTATACTAAAAACAGTCAGCGACTGGGGATGCATCGTGCCGACCCATTCGCAGGTGGACGAGGTGAGGCTCCCCGTGGTTCAGCGCCGAGGGGGAGCCGCCAGCCCCATGCCAGCTGCTCCTGGGCTCCACCTGCCCAGCACCCTCCCCCGTTCCCCCTGCTGACCTGTAGTCCTCACGGGTGGCGATGAGGCTGGACACGTTGCGCAGGATGCCGCCTCCGCTCTCGATGATGGCCAGCGAGTTGCTCTGGCACTTGTAGGTCAGTGTGCTGACCAGGAAGCCCAGGGCGCCATCCACCTGGCAGATGGCGGCCTTGTTCTCCGTGCTGTGCGCTGAGAGGTTCCACAGGGCGCTGAGCACGCTCTTCAGGGTGGACTCCTGGGCACAGGGCAGGAGCAGGAGGGGGGTCAGTGACGGGTCCCCAGCCCCACCCACCCCCGGGCCCTCTCCCTCGAGGCGCCGACACAAGGCACCCAAATGCCTCTTCGAGTAGAAGTCAAAAGTAACACAACCAGGGGCTTCCCTGGTGGCGCAGTGGTTGAGAGTCCGCCTGCCGATGCAGGGGACGCGGGTTCGTGCCCCGGTCCGGGAAGATCCCACATGCCGTGGAGCGGCTGGGCCCGTGAGCCATGGCCGCTGAGCCTGTGCGTCTGGAGCCTGTGCTCCGCAACGGGAGAGGCCACAACAGTGAGAGGCCCGCGCACCGCAAAAAAAAAAAAAGTAACACAACCGGCCACAGCAAGATCTTTTGGGTTGGAAGCCCCCGGTCTGGACCCGCTGCCAGGCGGCGGGTTGTCCGTCTGGCTTGACTTCCCCCCAAGGTGGCGAACTCACCACCTGCTGCCAGTGCCTCCCAGCCACGTGGCTGGCACCCCGCAAACGTGGCCCCCGCCACCCCGCCCGGGGCCCACCTTGGAGGCTCGCAGGACGCACTGCATCAGGGCCGTCATGCTGCCCACCTCCCTCAGCACCTTCTTGCTGTTGATGTCCGCCCTCCAGGACAGGTTGCGCAGGATGCTGGACACCACCTGGGCGAGTGCAGGACAGGCTGTCTGGGCCCGGGCCCAGCTTCCAGGGTGGCTCACAGGGCCCACCTGCAAGCCCCACGGCGGCAGGTGGCAGAGCCCAGGGTTGCCCCCCACCCCCGGCAGCACCACAGCCCCCCGGGTACCTGGTGCAGCTCCTCACTCTCGGACGCCAGCTGGGCCACGATGGCCTCCATGCAGCCCCGGCGGGCGCACAGTGCGGCCTGTGGGGTGACACGGGGGTCATGCCATGGCGGGAGGTGGGGCGGGGGCACCTGCCGCGTTGACTGAGCACCTACTATGTGCTGGAGCTCGAACCCCACCCCCCACCCCATCTTCACCACCACAGCGGAGGGAGAGCGCTCGCCCTGTTGCTCTGATGAGAAGACAGGCTCCGGCAGGCGCAGACACCCTGCCCAGGCCCAGAGGCCCCCGCTCCACAGGGGCGGCAGCAAAGGGGCCAAGAGGATGGTGGCCTGGACCCCAGGCCTCAGTCTCCCCGCCTGTCCCCGCCTCTCAGTGCTGCTTCGAGGCGGGGAGGAGGCCAGCAGGTCTTGGCCTGGGGGATGCTGGCCTACCCGCCGGCCCACCCAGGCACCTTGTTGGCGACGTCCCCGAAGGTTAGGTTGGTGAGGGTCATGCCGGCGTATCGGCGCAGGGCCAGGTTGAGAGGGTCCCGGGTCATCTTGTGCATCTCATAGTCAACCTGCAGTAACTCCGCCACGGCCTGCAGCCCACCTGTGTGGACACGGCAGGGCTGGGGGCAGGGGGGCGCCCCTCACCACCCCGCCTGCCCACCTCCCAGCCTCTGCCCGCGCAGCTCACTCTACCTATACGCCCTCCCCTCCCTCCGATCTGCTCTCCTCAAGCCCACCTTTGAAGCCCAACTCTGAGAACACCTCCTCCAGGCAGCCTGGCTGGCCCAGCCCCCTGCGTGCCCTGCACCTTCACACCCGCCTCTTTTCTGCCCTCAGCCCCCAGTCACACTTCGTCCGGCTGCCGGGCCTTTGCACATGCTGTTCCCTCTGCCCGGGATGCTCTTCCCCACTGTTCACCCAGTTTCCTGGGTCCCCTTCTGCTCAAGAGTGACTTCCTCAGGGAAGCCCCCAACTCCCCAGATGAGAAGTTCCCAAAGCATTAGCCAGCAAGCCGCTGAGGGCAGGGCTGGTGGCTGCCCCGCTGCGTCCCCAGGACGGACCAGACGGCGTGTGCTCAGGAGCCACTGCTGATGGCTCACACACGCGACTTTTTTTTCCTTTTTTTTCTTTTAGTTTTTTGGCCATGCCACAGAGCATGTGGGATCTTAGTTCCCCGACCCGGAATCAGACCCGCGGCCCCTGCAGTGGAAGCACGGAGTCTTAACCACTGGACCACCAGGGAGGTTCCTGCACACACAGTTCTTTACTCACTAGGACAACTGGGTTCTCACTTTACAAAGAGTAAATGGTCGGGACTTCCCTGGTGGTCCAGCGGTTAAGACTCCATGCTTCCAAAGCAAGGGGTGCCCGGGGTTCGATTCCTGGTCAGGGAACTAGATCCCACATGCTGCAACTAAAAGCCTGCATGTCCCAACTAAAAGATTCTGCATGGGGACTTACCTGGTGGCGCAGTGGTTAAGAATCCACCTGCCAATGCACGGGACACGGGTTCGAGCCCTGGTCCAGGAAGATCCCACATGCCGCGGAGGAACTAAGCCTGTACGCCACAACTATTGAGCCTGCGCTCTAAAGCCCGCAAGCCACAACCACTGAGCCCATGTGCCACAACTACTGAAGCCCGTGCGCCTAGAGCCCGTGCTCCGCAACAAGAGAAGCCACCGCAATGAGAAGAAGCCCGTGCACCACAACGAAGAGCAGCCCCTGCTTGCCGCACTAGAGAAAGCCCACGCGCAGCAACAAAGACCCCAACGCAGCCAAAAAATTTTTTTTAGTTAAAAAAAAAGATTCTGCATGCTGCAACTAAGACCTGGTGCAGCCAAATAAATAATTTTTTTTAAAGAGTAAATGGTCAGCGGGAGCAGAAGGGAAGGAACCTGCAGGAACCCAAACACACACAGCCCTTCCCCCTTGTTCGGCAACAGGATCGTCCTCAGGACCCGGGACCGATGAGGCAGCTTTGCTGAAGAGCACGCCAGTGGGGACCACCCTGGGGAAGGGGCTTAGCAACACAAACCTACAAACTTCCAAAGCGAACCTGTACGTGTATGTGCACAGCAGCACGAGTCACAACAGCCAGAAGGTGGAAACAGCCTGAGTGTCCATCACCAGACGATGGAGAAACACACCGTGTCCCTCCACACACGGGGACGTCCCTCAGCCACGAAAAGGGGTGAAGCCCTGACCCTCGCTACCACATGGACGGACCCGGAGAACACGATGCTCAGTGAGAGAAGCCAGACACACAGTGTGTGATTCCATTGATGGGAAACGTCCAGAACAGGCAGAACCACAGACACACGGCATGGGTTCGTGGTTGCCAGGGGCTGGGGAGGGGGATGGGGGGCTGAGTGGTTAATGGGGACAGGGTTTCAGTTTGGGAAGATAAGATTAAAAATGGTTAAGACAGTAAATTTTATGTTACATATAATTTACCACAGTTTAAAAAAATGTTTAGGGAATTCCCTGGCGGTCCAGTGGTTAGGACTCGGTGCTTTCACTGCTGAGGGCCCAGGTTCAATCCCTGATTGGGGAACTAAGATCCCATAAGCTCTGCAGCGTGGCCAAAAAAAATTAAAATTTAAAAAATGTTTAAATACGTAATTATAAGTCGGAGTGGGGAGCTTCCAAAGCCTTTTTGCTTCTTAATCTGGAAACGCCACTCCCGGGAACCCACACAAAGGAAAAAAATAACAATAGGGAAAAAGAGGTTGAACTGAACTGTGCATGGGGCACGTTCACTGGATGAGCCACTCAGCTCATCACGCATCCCTTGCCTGACTGACAGACACCAGTGACATGCCAGCATTTCCATCTCGGGACCCCTGTACACGCTGAACATTTTTTTGAGGACCCCAAAGAGTTCACTTGGGTCACAGCTCAATATTTATGATACTGCCACCAACAACAAAACAAACATCCCAATCAAAAAATGGGCAGAAGACCTAAATAGACATTTCTCCAAGAAAGACATACAGATGGCCAAGAGGCACGTGCAAAGATGCTCGACGTCACTTATTCTTAGAGAAAGGCAAATCAAAACTACCATGAGCTACCACCTCACACCCGTCAGAATGGCCATCGTTAAAACGTCTAAAAATAACAAATGCTGGAGAGGGTGTGGAGAAAAGGGAACCCTCCTACACTGTTGGTGGGGATGTAAGTTGGTGCAGCCATTATGGAGAACAGTATGGAGGATCCTTAAACAACTAAAAATAGAGTTACTATATGATCCAGCAATCCCACTCCTGAGCATATACCCGGACAAAACTAGAATTTGAAAAGATACATGCGCCCCTGTGTTCACAGCAGCACCATTTACAATAGCCAAGACATGGAAGCAACCTAAATGTCCATTGACTGATGAGTGGATAAAGAAAATGTGGTATATATAGATACAATGGAATATTACTCGGCCTTAAAAAAAAGAATGAAATAATGCCATTTGCAGCAACATGGATGAGCCCAGAGATTATCATACTAAGTAAAGTATGTCAGACAAATACCATATGATATCACTTTTATGTGGCATCTAAAATATGACACAAATGAACTTATCTACAAAACAGAAACAGACTCATGGGCACAGAGAAGAGACTTATGGTTGCCAGGGGGGAGGGGGTTGGGGGGAGGGATGGAGTGGGAGGCTGGGATTAGCAGATGTAAACTATTATATATAGGATAGATACACAACAAGGTCCTACTGTAAAGCACAGGGAACCATATTCAATATCCTGTGATAAACCATAATGGAAAAGAATATAAAAAAAGAATGTATAGGTAACTGCATCCCTTTACACCTGAAACTAACACAATATTGTAAATCAACTATACTTCAATAAACAAAAAATATTTACCACACTAGAAATGAAAACGGAGAAATCTTTTAACCCCAGAACGCACAGCCCAGCGGTCCTCAGAGTAGGAGTGCCTGGAAAAACCCCTCTGAACACACATGCGCACGAGAGTGAAAAAGGCAGATCGCATCTTCGTGGAATTATCAACATAGCACTGAGTGTGCAGGCCTCTCGGAAGGAGCTTGGTAACCTCCAGCCGTCCCTGGACCGGCTGGCGGAGGAAGGACTCCAGACCTGTGCCCTCTTGTAAAATGTCCGCCACTCCAGATGCCCCTCCCGGAAAGGCTGCTCCTGGGCGCTCCCCCCCACACCCACATTGGGTTTCGAGCGCCCGAGTCTATGTGGCCGGACCACGTGAGACCTTACAGAACCTTTGGTTTGACCATCTGCTGGGTGAGAAGTAGTGCCTCGTTTGGCCCTTGATGTTTCCTTTCCCCATGTTTTGATTACTTTTATGCGGAAAAGATGCTGCAGTACTCCCAAACCTAAAACTTCACAGGGTCGCTCCGCCTCGACCACCCAGTAGCTCCGATTCACCTTTTCTCCTGCCTTCCCGGCCTCTCCCCTGTTCTCTGAGCCCCAGGACCACTAGTGCCGAGAATCTGCCCTGCACTGGGTGAGGCCCGGAGGCCGTCCAGATAGCTCCAGTTCGCAGGGGCGGCGAGGGGCACTCACCCAGCTCGTTCATGGCACGGCGGTATTCCTCGTCGAAGGAGAGCTTCATCACGGCGCAGGTGGCCTGGCAGATCTGTGGCTCGATGGGGACCGGGACTGTGGGCAAGGGGACCGGGTCAGAGCCCTTCCACTGCAGGAAATGTCGCCTGGTGGGTCCCCGCCCCTCCCTGCAGTCTCCACCCTGCAGACCTGCCAAGACCTGGAGCTTTACAAAGTGCTGCCCGCCGGGCGCGCGGGGTCACCCCCAGAGCATCGGCCCCTCTGAAGTGAACGAGGAGGGGCCTGCCTCACCCAGCCTGGTGCTTAGCATCTGATACTAACTTTGCAGGCGGCCCCAACAGCTAGGAATCTCAAACTCTGCCCCCGCCTTTCGAGGGTTAACTACAATCTTTCCATTCAATCAACGACCGTTTCTTGAGCGTCCACCTTGTGGCTATCCCTTTGCCAGTCTGTCTTCACAGGTTCCCAGGAGGCCTCAGCCGGCGCGTGGCACAGAGCAGGTGCCCGGCAAAAGCCATAGGCCGCTGTTACTGCCAGCGGTGCTGCCCTGGCACCTGGGGAGCCCAGACTGCCGCCCAGCGCACAGAAGCTGCTCACTCACTCACCGCCGCCGGCGCCGCTGCCCTCGGGCCCACCGTCCCGGGCCTGCAGCCAGTCCCAGCAGGTCTCACAGTAGGCACGGATCTGCTCGAGCACGTGCAGGACGCGCATTTCCTTGCGCGCCAGACCCTGGTCCGGCTGGGAGAAGACGATGTTGTGCAGCGCTGCGTTGGCGCGCATGCGCGCATCCTTGGCTCCCGGCGCCCCTGGGGTCCCGTTGCGACCCCCAGCCCCGGCCTCGGTGCCGTGCAGGATCTGCAGCAGCAGCGGCAGGCAGCCCGAGCGGCGCATGGCCACGCAGCTCTCAGGTGAGCTGGACATGGCGAGCAGCGTCCGTGCCGTGTCCTCCTGGTCACGCGTCGCCAGCATGGACAGCAGCCAGAAGACCACCTCCACCTGCGAGGGGCAGGAGATGTCAGGGTGGGGAGCCCCGCCTGGTTCACCTGGCCCCAGACGGGCCCACCTGCGCTCCCCCTAAACGGATGAGAGTCCTATGACTTCAGCCCAGGAAAATCTCTTGCTCACCCCACTACCCTCACCCTGCATCCTCCCGGGGAGCAACACACACACACACACACGCACACACCACTGCAGAGATGCCCCCAGCCCATGAGAGCCAAATGTCCACCCCATCAGCTTCACCAGTACTCCTAGGGGTGACCCCCTACATCTAAGTCCAGAGTGCCCCTCAAATACACAGAACAGGTATCCACACCCACGCCAGGCTCCGCACCACAACCCAACCTCCCGACTCACTCCAACTCAGGATGACCCTCCCACACCTGGGGATGCTTTAGGGAGGCCTGGAGAGGGAGGGGCCTTCGAATGCAGCAGGGATGCAGGACCCACTTCACCGTGTATCCCAACCCAGCCGGCCGCCACTGCCCCCACCCCGCCTCTCAGCATCCCCCCCCCGGACTCCCCTCACCTTGCTGTTGCCCGGCTGAGGGGCACCATCCTCAGGGTGCGTGGGGACCTCGGCCTCTGGGTCCTCATCCATCGGCATCGACTTCACTGCCAGCAAGGCCTGTGGGGAGAACGCCAGGCCTGCGGGTTCCGCGCAGGGGCACCCCACAAAGCGCCCAGGCTGCTGATGCCTGCCCTACCCCCACGACGATGTGGCGGGGGCCGCAGACGGATTCCTGAACCCTGGGCAGGGCCTGGGGGTCTCCCTGCTGCCTGGGGCTGTCACCACGCACTAGGGCTCTGACTTCGCCCCTCCTGGTACCTGGGGCTCGGTCTGTTGCACCCGGTCCTGTGCCGACAGCAATTCCTTGTCTATCTGCTCCAGGCGGGAAGCACGGATCTGCGTGGGAGAAAGGGCACACTGAGGAAATCCCACCTGGCTCCGACTCCGCCCACACTCCCAATATGGCCCCTTCCCCAGTCCAAATCCTGCCCCATGCTGACTCCACCCAGTCCCTGGTTTGGCCCCATCCATTGCCAAAACCCCACCCTGGGCTCTGACCCCGCCTCCTCCTTGATATGGCCCACCCACTCTCAACACCCCCACCCCCACCCCCAGTTATCTGACTCCACTTCCTGATCCCACCCAAGGTCCAACCCTCAAGCCCAGGCTCTGGCCCCGCCCACAACTTAAACCCCAGGCCATCCCTCCGGACCCACCTATTTTCTGACTTGGTCCCGCCATTTGACTGTCAACGCCCAAGTCTTGGTCAGACTCGGTTCCTCGCACTGGTCGCCCCGTCCCTATCGTTCTGGGACTCTGTCCTCTGAGCCGGGGTCTGCGCTAAGCCCCCTATGGCTCCGCTCACACTCCGCTCTTAACTCTGGCTCCGCTTCCTGCGTCAGGCCCCACCCGCAGGAGTCTCTGTCCTCTGATTCGCCCGCAGGCATATAACCCCGCCCATTAACAATATCTGCGCTCCTCCCACAACAATATCTGCGCTCTGATCCTCCCGCTGGTGTATGGCTCCGCCCAGGCTCCGCCCCAGCCGCACCTGCGCCCGCTGCACCATCTCGTCCGAGGTGCCGAAGCGCTCCTCCATCAGCGAGCGGATGTGCTGGGCTTCGAACTCCAGCTGCTGCCGGATCAGATCCATCTGCATCGAGAACTGCTGGGAGGGGCGGGTGGGCCTCGGTGAGCTGAGGGGGGGCGATACCCGGGCGAGGGCTGGGCCTCCGCTCCACTCCGCCCCCCGCCATGGGCGGGGCGGGGCGGGGCGGGGCGGGGCACTGCAAAATCCCGGGCAGCTCCGCGCGCTCACCGTCTCCACGTGCGGGAGTTCGTCCAGGCGCTTGGATAGGCCCTGCAGCTGCGAGTAATACCAGAGCTTCTCCTTCTCCTCCTTCTCGATCTCATTCAATAGGAAACACCTGGCGGAGGGCCGGTCGGTGGACGCGGGCTCACAGAGCGGGAGACGTTGCCACGTGTTTGTTTACCCTGACTTTTGTAATCACTTCTGGGGTGCTTACTGGGTGCCAAGTTTAATAGGTAGTGTGGCGAAGTCTCGCCCGTGGTGCCCCTGGCACTGGGGTGGGGATGGAGTGCAGAAATTATTTGAAAGTAAAAAAGGTAACTCCTTTGTAAATTTTGGTCCTCGGAGAAAGGCTCTGAGGAGGCTGTTCTAACAGCTCTCGAACACCGGCTAATCTCCCTCTAGCCTACACAGGGCAAACTTCAGGCTCGGATTGCTCCAGGTGCAGTAGAGTCTCCCTCTTCACACCCTGTGAGGAGACACTGCTATTTCCATTTTACAGAGCAGAAGTCTGAGGCTGGCAGGGGCTAGGGTTCTTGCTTGAGGTCAGACAGCAAAGCATGGACTTAACTCCAGGCTGCTCCAGAACTTCCCCGTCTGACCGCACACAACGCAGCTGGGCTGAGCTAGGTACCCAGACCCTGCCTCCTCCTTCTGGCCTCAAGTCCAGGTTTCTTGGGCCGCAGCCCTTTCTCCACAAAGGCTGCCTTGAGTCTCTCTGGCTCCAGGCCTGACTGTGAGCCCTGGCACTGGACACAGCCCTGTCCCTGGTGACGCCTGTGTGTCCAGGACCCCTGGGGACGTCTCCCAGGAGCCTTCCCCTCTGCCAGGAACACCCCCCCCCCGCCCTTGTCCTCCAGCTGAGGTCAGTTGGGCCAGGAAAGGGGGCTGAGGCACCACATGGGGATGGGGCAGGGAGTGGGCAAGGGGGCTCATGATGTGGGTGGAGCCTTGTGACCACTGCCTGTGGCAAGGTTCCCCGCCATCTCACCGTTCCCGGTCCAGTTCCTCTAGCAGCTGGATGGTGGCCCGGCTCAGCTCCCCAAAGCTGTCCTTGGAGGGCCCAGAGCTGTGCACCGGGCTTCCCTCGGGGGTCCGGGCAGTGGGCTCAGGGACCAGAGCCGGGGGCTGGAACTTGAGGTTGTACAGGCTGGTGATGTCCATCTGCAGGGCTGGATGGGCGCAGAGGGAGAGGCTGACGTCAGCACGCCCCCTGCGCCCCCTCCTCCCAGCTCCCTCAGGAAGCAGACCAGCGTTGGCCCCAACGTGCGGGGGGGGGGGTCCCCAGGCCAGCCCCTCACCTTTCAGCTGCTCCAGCACCTCGGTCTGCCCCGAGGACACCAGCACGCGGGCCTCCTGCTCCAGCTTGCCCTGCAAGTGCTTCAGGACCTCCTGAACATGGAGGCCGGAAAGAGAGCGGTCAGTGGTCCAGCCCCCTGTGAGATGCCCCTGTCCTGCCTGCCCATCCCTGGGCCCAGCGCCCTGGTGTTTGTCCCTGTGACCCGGGTCCACGTCCTCCGCCCAGCCTCCCCTCGCACCTTCATGCCCGACGTTTCTGTCTCCAGCTTGGACAAGTGGCTTGAGTTATCCCGAAGCTCCTGCCTCAGGTGACTGTTCTCGGCCTTCAAGGCCTCCACCTGCCGCACCAGCTGCTCGTAGGGCGCCACGGAGCTCGTCATCTTCAGCTCCTGCAGCGCCTGGGCCCACGGGAGAGAGGGATGATCTGAGGGTCTGGGTAGGGGGCGGCCCTCGACCTAAGTTCCAGCCCTGGGTTGGGTCTCAGGCAGGGGTGGCTGGCGTGGACTGCTGCAGGCGGGATGGTGCTGGCCCAGGGAATCTGGGGGACAGACGGCCTGGCAGTTGGAGTGACGGACATAGGCAGGGACAACGGGAGACAGAGGGACAGAACTGTCGGAGAGGTGTTCAGACAGACAGCTGAACTGACCAACAGACAAGACACAGACAGACACTGGCCATCACTGTGGGGCTTTTAGACACACAGACGGACAGCCAGACAGTTGAAACTGGCAGGGGGACTCACCAGCCCAACGCCACCAGGCTCAGAGACACACAGCCAGAGACAGAGAGACAAACAGACAGATGGACGGACAGCCAAGACCCTCTCCTGAATGAGCACAGCCGCCCAGAGGCTGGGTGGACAGACTACCAGCTGGCCCAGATGCTGGCCAATAAGAACGCCGTGAAGGTTCTAAGAAAGCGATGGACGGGCTGATGGTGGCCCCAGCAGCTGGACAGCCAGCCAGCCAGACACAAACCCACCGTAGTCATCCTGGGGGTCTGCAGCCCGGACACCCCCTCCAGCAGCGGCTGGATCCGGAGTAGCTACCTGCTCGGCCCTGATGCCCCTCCGGTCAGCGCTCTGTCCCTAGAGCCCCCGGAGGCCCCTGCCCCCGCCCCTGGAGCCGCCACTGCCACTTGCTCTTTGTGTGTCTGGCTGCCCTTCTTGCTACAGCCCAGCCTCCTCCCTCTGTCCAGCTAGCCGGTGTCTCCTCCCTGGCTTGGCCCTCTTGACCGAGCGGTCCCACCACCGGCCCCCCTTTCCTCTTTGTTCCCTTCCCATCAGCCCTCACCCCCTCCCTCCGCCTTTGTCTGAGATGCACCAATGGCAGCCCATCCCCTCCGCCACCTCCTCCCTGGGAGCCCCCTCCCCCTGCCTGCCTGAGCCCCCTCCCCAAATCAGTCAGCCGCCCCTGCCCACAGGGGGGCACCTGCCCCTTCCCTCTCCCTCCACCACCGGGGCACACCCATTCCTTCACTCGCTCACTCATTCTCCCTCTCCTTCCCCCCAGGAGCCCCCCCACCCACTGTGGGCACAGCTGGGCCTGGAGTAGGGGTAGGGGGGGCTCGGCCCCAAGGAGGAGTCAGTCCATTCTAACCACTCAGAGGACCTACTGCGTGCCTGGCCTTGTCATCTGACACCTTGTCACAGTCCTGAGCCTTGAGCCTCAAGGATCAGCATTCGACTGTTCCCAGAGAGAGAAACTGGGCCTGGGGGGACGCAGCAGGCATGACTGGGACCCAGACACCGTCCTGGAAGTGGTCACAAGTCCAGGCAGTGCTGGAAGCACACAAGCCCCTCCCCCGCTGCAGGCCTCGGTTTGCACATCTGAGGAATGGGGAGAACTCGGTCTACCAGGCTTATCTTATGGGCCGACTAGAGGGCCAGGTGGGATGGTGGTCATGGAGCAGACAGGACAGTCCCATGGGTGACAGTGTGTCAGGTGGGGGAGGCTGGCGCCTGAGGACCACAGTCCCCTCTCTTACCCTGATACTGATCCTGCCCGAGGCTCAGTCGGGGGTCCCAGCTGGGGATCAGGACCCACTGGCGCTGTGGCAAGATCCCTGGGGTCCGGCTGGGGCCCTGTGTCCTGGCTGAGGCCACCATGCCATGCCCAGCCAGGGGGAAGCACTAGTCCCGTGCATGCCCCTCCCACTCGGCAAATCCAGACCCCTCCTGGGGCCCTCTCCCCAGGCTGCCCCCAAGGGGCTCTTCTGGAATGGCCCAGACCGAGCCTCAGACCTTTCACTCCCCCCACAGGAGTGACCCAGTGGTCACTCCTGCGTCCCCATCAGACTGAACTTGGTAGCAGGGCCACGCATCAGGCTCCCTCCCATTCCAACCTGGATCCCCAACACAACACTCCCACCAGCCCCTCAAGCTCTACCCAGCTGGCCCCTCCCAGGGCAGCCTCGCCAGCCTCTTCCCGGCCTCCCACGATCCCCTTTTCATGCACAGACAGAGGGCAAGTTGCGAGTTGGATTCCATTTCTCCCCTGCGCCAATGCCTCCACGGCTCCCCAGTGCCCTCAGCATAAGCTGTGAGCCCTCTGCTTACAGCCCGCATCACTGCCACCGGCAGCTCTCTTTCCCCCAGGCCATTTCACATGCAGTTCTCCTGCCCGGAGCACCTCTCCTAACTCCTGCCATCGTCACAGGCCACCTCCTCCCTCCTGTCTGCCCCTCACCCCCAGGCTGCCTCGGGGGACCGCATCCGAGATGTGTGCACCGATAGGAAAGCACCAATAGCTAGGGGTTTTGTCTGAATGACAGTGAGGGGCCGCACGTCCTCTAGTTAAGCTGCCACCCAGAGAGGTGCAGCACCATTCCCCAAGACACACAGTGGCTTGTCCGAAGACTCTGGGAGGTCTGGGTATTGACACCTGTGAGTGGGTGTTTGCATGGGATCAACTGCAGCGACGCAGACGCCCACCTCCCTGGGACACAGTTTCTCCTCTGGCTCCGCCCTGAAGAAACGGAGGCTCCAGCCTGTGTGCTTACAGGCGCGGCAGAGAGAAAAGGACAGAGACTCCGGCAAGGCGGAGGCCGCACCCGCGCTGCCCTCCACCCAGGGAAGGCGCCCGCTTACTTTATCTCACTGGGGTTGGGCTGGCTGCGGTGCCGAGGGCCTGGGGGTTCCTCCCTCCGCGCAGCTACGCCGGCCCCGCCCAAGTTCCCAGTCCTCCGGGGCTGGGGCGGCCGCGGGGCGCGGGCTCCAGGGCTCCGGGGTTTCGGCGGGGCGGACGAGGACTCCGCGTTAGACAAAGCCCAGTCCGGGCCTCGCCAGGCGACGCCGCCACTCCGGGCGCTGGGCGAGACCACAGCGCGCGGGGGAGGATGCGGGATGCAGGCGCGGCGGCCAATGGCGGCACGGGAAGATGGGCTGGTGCCATGGCAACAGCCAATGGCGGCCCGGGGCTGGGACCGCCGGCGGCTGCGGGGCTTCGGGCCTCCGAGCGGGTTCGGCGGGGTGTGTGTGTGTGTGTGTGTGCGTGCGTGTGTGTATGGGTGAATCCCCCTTAGGGAAGGGAGCCTCCCAATGACCATGACCTTGTGTCCTCCACTCCATTCGGGGTGAAATGGCGTTTCAGAACCTGCAGTGGCTGGATCTGCAGAATTTGAGTGTAAGCCATCCAGTTTTGGGTGTTACATCAGAACCTTAGGGTGGAGGGAGGGAAGCTCCAGGGGCGGGGCAGGAAGCCCCTCCCCACGGATACGGCCTGGCCTGGATCCGATGGGTCAGGGCAGGCCAGGGTTGGGGATCTAGCTGGACCACCCCGTCGAGCGTCCTGGCTGACATGGGGGGTGAGCGTGGGGGATGGGCAGGCACGCTGGGACCCTACATCTCTCCCTGTCCCCCTGCCTGGCAGAGTGTCAGCGCCTCCGTGACTCCATGGCCCTTCCTACATTCTCTGAATCTCTGACTCTCTGTGTCTGTCCCCTGTGGGACCCATAATTCACCCTTGCACAAGGGAAGCCAGAGGAGGGAGGGGGCTGGGCTCCCAGGAGTACCCGTCCCCAGCTGTCTCAGATCGTCAGTGGGTCCCCGGAGGCCACTTGAGGGTTTAACACCCAGAGGCCGAATCTGCAGCTGCAGCTCAGGCCGCCTGCTGCCCAAAGGACGAAGGAGACATGACATGGCTTTGGGGCTTGCCTCTGTCTTCTCTTGGCTGGGGGGCCAGGGCAAGTCGTTCACCTGGAGACCCTCAGTTTCTCCCTCTGTAAAATGGGGAGGTGGCTGCAGCCTTTGTAAGGGCTGGTGCAGGGAAGGACAGGACAAGAGGGGCAGCCAAGGACACAAGGACCACGGCTACCATGATGTCTCCTGTTGGACCAGCTGCAGGAGGCCCCTTGTGTCCCACCCTGGGACAAAAACACTGGGGGCGCCGAAAGAACTTGGACCTTGCGTGTTCCAGAGCCTCCGGAGCCAAACACAGCCGCCCCCAGCCTGTGGGACCCAGGAGTGAGTGCAATGGGCAGAAGGGCTCTTTCCAGAGGCCGGGAAGGCTGCACTAGAAGGGAACACCGGTGCTGGGTCTCTTCAGCATGAATCAGAGCTGGGCATGGGATCAAGGAGGGGAAAAGCATTCCAGGCTGAGGGAACAGCACATACAATGCCTGGAGCCAGGAGAGATCAGAGCCCACTCAAGGCATATGGACTTCGGTGGTGGGGCTGGACCAGGGAACTGATGAGGCATTTAGAGAAGGAGGAGTCCTGGGGCTGAGCTGACCACGGGAAAGCAGGGCAGACTGGGCAAAGCTGGAATGGGGGCGGGGAGAGGACAGAGCCCAGGGCCGACTTCAGCTCCACCTTGACCCCCCTGCATGACCTGGGGCATGGCCTCAGTTTCCCATTTTGTTCACTGGGAGGTGGTTAGAGAATCCCTGCCCCAACCCCCATGGGACGAAGTCTCAGCTCCCCCATCCAGTCTTAGATGCCACTGCTCTCCAGGCCCCTCTCAGCCAGAACGTTAGAGCTGGCAGGGGGCTTGGAGGGTCCAATGGCCAGTCTTGTCCTCATTCACAGGGGAAAACTGACGCTCAGGGCAGGGAGCACGTTGCTTGAGTTCATGCGCAAGCCCAGCCAGGCCCTCCCTGGGCGTTCCTCACCACTCTGGGTGGGGCTGGGGTCTGGAAGGTTGAGAGCACATGAAGGCTGAGACCCCAAGGCAAAATGCCCTTGTCCGCAAGCCTCTGGAACATCACGTCCCTGACACCACCCCAAATCCTTGACCCTGTAAATCTTTGAGCCACAGCCAGAATCGGGCATCACTGTAAATTCTAGAAAGACAAGAGCCTTCGGAACCCTCAGAGCCTCCCAGGACCCCAGGCCCAATCTCGGGGTGCCCAGGCCTAGTGGGGGGCCTCTTCCCAGTCTCCCTCCCTGGTATCGTCTGCTCCCTCTACCGCACAGG